TCGTCGTCTCCTCCTCTTCCTCCTCCGTCGCCGTCTCCTCCTCCTCCATCTCCCCCTCCTCTCCTCCCTCCTCCTCCTCCTCCGAGTCCTCCTCCTCCTCCTCCTCGTCCTCCTCCGACCCTCCTCCTCTCCTCCCCGCGGCCGCGCAGGCTGCCGCGGCGGTGAACGTCGAGGAGAGCCCGGCCGACAGTGGGCCGCAGCAGCTGCCGCAGCTGATGGAGCTGGTGGAGGACGACGGCATATCGTCTGAGTACGAGTTCCTTATCCCTCTCTTCCTGAGCGGCCACGGGATGACCGATCCCCTCGGCCAGCGCTTCGTGCCGGCGTGGGCCGTCAGCGTGAGCAAGGAGCCGTCCGAGCCCACGACCGATATCGAGAGCGACGTCATCGAATACGAAGTTCCGGAGTGTTTGAGGTTCGACGGGTGCCCGCCCAAGATCCCGATCGTCCACTACGCCCTCAGGGGCGTCGAGCTCGCGAAGCCCGAAGCGTTCGCCGTCGAGGGCGGGACGAAGCTGACCAGGCCGGCCTTCCCCGATGAGACCCTGCCCACGGAGAAGAAAAGCCAGGCCCGTCAGTTGAACAAGCTTTCCGAGGATATGATTGCTCTCTTAGGGGGCGCGGCGGCCCTCAACACCCTGCCGGAGGACGAGGAGGCCCCCGCGCCGGCCGCCGCCCCCGCTGGCCCGGAGGATGGCCCAGCCAAGCACACTGTGAAGCATCTCCTGAAGTAGGGGGTGAGGTGAGGGTGAGGGGGCGGCCCTAGACGGGCTCCTCAGGCGGCGGCCGCAGCGGCCCCAGCGGCGGCGGCCGCGGCCCGGGGCCCGCGGCATCGCCTGACGGGAGTGGGGTGATCCTCCCTCCGGCCCGCGGCATGCGACAGTGCAGCTAGCCCGGCTAGCCCAGCCACCACGGGGAGGGACATGGGGAGGGACCCAGGGAGGGAGGGGGAGGGGAGGCACGATGAGGAGGGAGAAGAGGAGGAGAGGCGGAGGAGGGGAGGAGGGAATTGGAGTACAGTTTAGATAACATCAACAGCAACATCGATATGCCATTAAAGTTAAGATAACAACAACATCGATATGATATTGACTGGAACTGCTGGGCCGCCTGAGGCTTGGGCCCTGGGCCTAGGGCCAGGGCCCCCCCTCAGGGCCTCGAGGGATGGGCCCCGCGGCCTCTCCTGCTTTTTCCGCCGGCCGGCGGCGTGGCCTTCTCCCGCCCCGCCCTCCTCCCTGCGCGTCGCGCTTCGGCGCCTCGCCTCGAGCCTGAGCCTGGGCTCGACTCGACACGTCCCCCAGAGCCGAGACAGAAAGGAGACAGGCCGAAGGGCCTCGTCGCGCAGGCGCCCGCGCCGGGGCGGGCGGGCAGCGGCGACGCTCGAGCCGCGGGGGGGTGCGCCGCCGTCGTCGACGAGGCCGCCGCCGCCGCTGTGTCGGCGTCGTCGGCGTCGGCGTCGGCGTCGGCGTCGTCGTCGTCGTCGAGTCGTCGTCGTCGTCGTTCCGTTTTCGCCCTCGTCCACTCGTCTTCGTCGATGTCGTCGGAGGCGCCGTCGTCGTCGAGTCGCCGACGCTGACGCCGACGCCAACGCTGACGACGCCGCCGCCGCTGTCGGGGGGGCTGGGCGAGGAGTCGGGGCGGAGGAAAGGGGGATGTCAGCGCCAGCCAACGACTCGGACCACGTGCGATCCGTCGCTGCACATCCCCCGGCCAGGGAGTAGGAAGGAGGAGGGGGAGGAGGAGGGGGACTCGGACTATGTAGTGGTAGTAGTAGTGGCAGTACTAGAGTGGTAGTAGTAGTACTAGTAGTAGTAGTAGTAGTAGTAGTAGTAGTAGTAGTAGTAGTAGTAGTAGTAGTAGGATTGGTAGTAGTAGTAATAGTAGTAGTAGTAGGAGTAGTAGTAGCAGTAGGAGTAGTGGGCGTAGTAGTAGTAGTAGTAGTAGTAGTAGTAGTAGTAGTAGTAGTAGTAGTAGTAATGGTAGTAGTAGTGGTCGTAGTACTAATAGTCGCAGTAGTGGTGGCACAATTTGTGGTCGTAATAGTAGTAGTAGTAGTAGTAGTAGTAGTAGGTGTGGTAGTGGTGTGAGTGAAAGTAAGAGTAGGAGTAGTGAGGTAGTAGCTGTGCTAGTAGTAGTAGTAGTAGTAGTAGTAGTAGTAGTAGTAGTAGTAGTACTAGTACTAGTAGTAGTATTAGTACTAGTCGTAGTCGTAGTCGTAGTCGTAGTCGTAGTCGTCGTGGTAATAGTAGTAGCATCAGTAGTTGTATCAGTAGTAGTAGTAGTAGTAGTAGTAGTAGTAGTAGTAGTAGTAGTAATACTGTAGTAAAGTATGTGTGGTATTCGTTGTAATAGTGGTGTCTGTAGTACTCGTATTAGTAGCCGGGGGTACCAGGTAGATGGGTAGTAGTAGGTAGTGTTAGTCGTAGTCGTAGTCGTAGTTGTAGTCGTCGCGAAGGTCCCATCGGACTCGCAGTCCTGGTGTCGTAGTGGTAGTGGTAGA